AATAGGAGTTGGCAAATGAGTGATAGTTTTGCCTGTGAAGCGACCGTCTAATGAAAATTGCTGAACTCGATTATTTCTACCATCACATACAAGAAGATTACTGGAGCTGTCTACAAGCATACCATACGGTCCGTGAAATTGTCCGTCTTGATTGCCTGCTTTCCCAAAGTTGTATAAGAAGTTTCCTGACTGATCGAAAGCTTTAAATGCAGTTATTTCCGAAATTAGATACGAGAAACATGTTTTTGTAAGGAATGCAGCAAGTTGGATTCTTGAGTTTCTCCGAACCGCTATCTCCAAATATGGAAATAGTCTCACCGTCCTGTGACGTCACCTGTATCCTATCATTGCAATACTCGGTTACAACAATGCGGCGTTCTCCATCCAAACAAACAACAACCGGGAAACTAAACTCTCCTTTTCCTGCACCAAATTTTCCAAAGCTTTTTACAAACGTTCCTGTCTGGACATCTACGTGTTGTATTCTATTGTTCCCTGCATCTGCAATCAGAATCTCGTTATCATTCAGATATGTAACGCCACGTGGGTATTGAAATTGCCCGGCATTGTTTCCTTGGCTTCCAATTTTTCTTAAACAGTTGCCTTCTTTATCGAATATATAAATACAGTGTCCACTCCTATCTGTTATGGCAATCTTCCCTTTCGTGTTTACAGCGATTCCATATGGAGATTGTAGCTGATCTCCTTGAAAAAACCTCAAGTCCAACTCACCGACTACAACAAGTTCACGTTGTTTCACCTGCATAGTGAAAGGACAGGTCGGAAGTTTCTCGCCATTGATCTTCACTTCAATGCTGTAGGCGCCCGGTACTTTGGGTGTAAACTTCACTTTGAATTGACCGTTTTCTTTCTCGCTAACAATCACATTTGTGACGTCTTTAGTGGGTTCTATCAGAACTTCAATTTGATGTTTGAGATCAGACTGGTTACTTATTTCCCCCTCAGGTGTTTTTGGGGATAATATAAATTCTGCTTGTACACCAGCCTGAAGAGTTTGACCCAGTCCTTCCAGAGTGGACTGATTTGTATCCAGTCCCTCGGTGGCGAGATCGCCCAGTCTCCAACCCTCTACAGAAGCCGCGGTAAATTTGATGAATGAGGTCTGGTGATGTTTTGGAACTTCAATTCCACGAAGCTCTTCAGATCTCTGTTTCAAAGTTACTTTGCTCTGCATGATATCCGAGCTTGAGCTTCTCTGTACCAGATTATTAGCAAACTCAGCCGCTTGCTTTATTTGTTTGAGTAAGGACTGCGCTTTCTCCAAAGCCGAGTTAATTCTCTCGAGTCTCGTTACGCGCGTCGTCTCGATGGATACAATCTCCTCTCGCTCGCGCGCTCGAATCTCTGCCATCCTTTGTTCAGCTGCTTGCGAGACTCCACGTTTAGCGGTCGCGACGTTGTTTTCCAGCTTCAAAATCGTTTCTTTCAAATTGTCGAATCACATCCTTCAATTCTTTCTCCTTTTCTCTGATCAATGCAGCGTCCGCCATGATATTCCCTTTCTCGTTGTCAGCCGCTTTGTCGAGCAAAACAACTTTGTGGTTTTGGTGATCCGTGACGAAGCAAGAATTACAAACACAAGATTGACACGTAAGGCAGTAAAATTTTGTGATCTCTCGCTCGTGGTACTGTTCTGTGCAGAAGGGCTGTCGCTTCAACAAGGCTTCGTAATCTTCAGCTTGAAACTCTTTTACAGGCATGACTTTGTGGCCTTCGAATTCAGCGCGCAGAACTTCATGTGCGTTTGAACAGTTGGGGCACATAAATCGTCCACAATCAAAGCAATAATGCGCATCAGAGGTCTTATTCTTACAGTTCCCACAAGTAATGCTACTTCCATCGCCACTCTGTCGAACAGCAAGGATACTCAACAAACTGTTGTGGAAAAAACTGTTCGGCAAACTGTCGAAGCGATTTCCTTCCGGTAAATCGATTTGTGCCTGGCACTCGGGGCATCGGAATTTTCCTTGTCTGTGGCTCGCTCTTGCATGATTCGCCAAACACTCACAGCAAAATGTGTGAAGACATGATATAATTTTGGGTTTGTTGTAGGTATCGAGACAAATCGAGCAAGTAACTTGTTGCTTGAGGTTTCTCAAGAGGGCCTCCATCGTAAGACTCGTAAACGCTTTGTAAAGATTGCGAGCGGAACACACACCCTCTTAAAGAGCTATGGTTTGCGATTCCGAGAAAACCAGATTTGATTACGTCTGTAGCTGATCTTTCTAACCTGACGCTGAGTTTCGATTGGTAGTCAATCACGCAAAACGTTTGTGTTGTAGAGAGTGTCGATCAGGAATTGCACGATGCATGTAAAATATGGATATGAACAGTAGGAGTCGGTTGTATTTATAGAATCTAAAAACCCAATTTATACGTCGCATTTTAAGTCGCATTTCTGTCGCGTCGAATGTAACTCATACCGCAGAAATCTCGCTGGTATTAGTTGATTCGACTACGTTTGCAATACACCATGGAAGCAACGTGCTCTATACTTTGGATATGGACCAGCAGTAGTCGGTTGTAGTATATAAAACGTCACGTGATGGACGCGCGTGGCTGAAGAATCGGAACCGTTTCTAGAACTTTCTCACGACACGCTATTTTTAAATTGTTTTTTCCTGTTAGATACACACATTATTCATATATGAATCAACATTGTTCTTTTCATATACATGCAGATTTGAAATGTTTTCCAGAGTGACGTATTGTAATAACATTTTGTTTTCAGAATTAATAAAATTTATATAAGATAAGTCTAAAAAATATGGACGTTCCGGTTCTGTCATGAACTCGTAATAGTTGTGTCGAACATTAGTGCCTTTTGTTAGGACAAATGCTGCTAATGATCCATTCTCGACCCCAGACCTTCGCTGCTTTCTTGACTAAATAATCAGGAGCGTTTTTTGAAACCAAAAACCAATCAGAGCAGGCTCTGCCCAGGGTTCCCCAGAGCTCATCTCTCCCTCGGTCATGCGCAAGAGAGAAGAGCTCTGGGGTCGAGATGCTAATGATCAACACGTCACTGCGTCTGCGTATGTTACTTGCGCTTATGCTTGCGTCGTACGTGTATACCGGCCTCAAACAGCAGTAAACAGCAGCAGTACCAAGCCATGGATTTAAATCTCTAGACGTTTACGACGACCCACCATTAGTTTTATATATGGGAGTACCCCCGTGGGGGAGACAAGATGAAACGGAGAGATCAACAATGTTGCCAAGGCGGATATCTTTGAATTCCCTCAAATTTTAGCTGAAAATGTTTGCGGATGAAAAAGAGAGAATAATGAGGCTTATTATATGACTGAGAAAATTACTTCGTTATGATTGGCTGAGAGGAGACACGTTGATCATTAATTTTTTAATTTGCCACAGCGCGCGCATTCGTAATTTTTTCAATCATATAATAAATGAGTAATCGTATGACTATCACTTGTAGTAAATCTTTAATTGCACTCGCATTCATACGATTACCAAATACAAGTAAAAAGATAACTGAAACCAGTGGAGAGTGAACGTAAGGAGAAAAGTAAAGAGTTCTTAATAAAATAATGAAAATTCAATAGTTTAAAGCTAAAGAAAAACCCAAAATGTGCCATCTTCTTTATATTGTGTTATTTAATTCAATATTGTTTATTTTCTCAGATGTTGGGGTCATGTGGGTCACCATGGTTACAAGACCCAGATCTCTATTGGTGACAACTGTGACTTCACTCACGTGATGGTTCACGAGATCGGACATTTCAGTTGGGTTCTGGCACGAGCAGAGCAGGCCTGACCGTGACAGCTATATCAGTGTTATATGGGAGAATGTGTTAGATGGTAAGAGTGCGTGACAACTATATTAGTGTTATATGGGAAAACGTAATGGCCAATGACAATAAACTTAAACAACACAATGAACCAATGAGAACTCGAAGTGTATGCACATAACCAGCGCCAAGCGCGGGAAAACGTGTGTGACCAAGTCGCATGGTTTTGGTTTTGCATCTGATTGGTTGAAAAGGTCGCGCAAGATTTATATTAAACTAATTATAGAGCGCAAGAGAGGATGATCTAAGAGAAGGCGGATTCCCCGTGTTCTATGATAATGTTTTGAAATCTATTAATAATTTCGCGCCATGCTGTGAAAGTTATTTTTATTTCCTCCTGATCGAGGCTGCGACATCACGTTACTCGAACTGACCAATCAGTTTTCGTTCTTGAAAATAGCTCAGCTATGGACTGAAAGTTAAAAATAGATTTCAAAAAAATCTCATTGGAAGAGAGCCATGTACATGTATGGGGGAATGCTTCTCTTCTGTCATCCTCTCTTGTAGAGTGTAGTAATTCTGGATTACTTTCGACACTCAATTGATAACCACGCTATCATCATAAAGTCAATTCGCTATCCTTTAACTGTAATGCTACCCAATTCAGTTTTACTGCAAAGTTTGCAATTTTTTATCATTTTTGCCCTGTAGGTCTTGAAGACGCTTTCGCCAAAAGAAAATGGGGAACAGAAGTTGTTGATTTTGGCGTACCGTACGATTTCGAGTCCATCATGCACTACCCGTTCACAGCTTTTTCCAAAAATGGCAAACCCACCATCCGTAACATCGTGTCCATGAATGGAAAGGTCCCGTATGTGGAGTGAGTGACGGAGATGCGAAACAGACCAATGCAATGTACAAGTGTGCCGGTAAGGAGTTTATAGGGGCGGTGTCAAGTTGTTCCCTTAGCAACGATACTTAGACCCCCGGTTCAACATCACATAATTATTAGATCAGTTAATAGCTACATTTTGTACGCCATGGATGGCGCATCTTATAAAATCTAGCCTGTCGTTCGTAATCCGTGTCAATCTTCCCCAATCTTAACCATCCTTGTTTCCTTTTGGTTTATTATTATCTCTGTCGTGTTTTTCTATCTTAGTAATCTGTTATTTCAGGTTTTCGATTTCAAGGTGTTATTGTAAATGCTCAGAGATGTGTGTGGGAGACACGGTGACCTAATGGTTAGTGCGCTGGAGTCCGGATCGAGTGGTCTGGGTTCGAGCCCTGGCTGGGGTCACTGTGTTGTGTTCTTGGGCAAGACACTTTACTCTCACAGTGCCTCTCTCCACCCAGGAGTTTAAATGTGTACCAGCAAACTGTTAGGGCAACCTGACAAAATACTGGGGGGTAATCTGCATTGGACTAGCATCCCATCCAGGGGACTAGCAATTAGTTTTTTTTAGCTAAATACCATTGACACTTAAATAAAGTTATTCATTCCGGCATTTCATTCATTCATACTCCTAGTCGGCTTCAATTGCTACGGAATCCTGGATAAGCTCCGGCAGTGTGGACCAGTTTGGCCCGAGTGCGGCTTTACCTAAGTTACCTAAGAGACGTGTACCATAGCAAACTATAAATTTAAGGGAAGACAGTTGTATAAACACTAAAACTTGTAATTATTTGGGTAAAAAGTACACAAATTAACGATTCTTGTATTTGTTTTAAGCTGTGATGAGGAAAAGAGCCATTGATGATTTCAGTTCGTTCAAACCAGTTCCACGAATCCAAAAAGAAGTAAGTGTTTTTCGTTAATTTCTAACGCGTCTATGACAAATATTTCTTGAATTTGTTCAAACTTAACTCCAAGATAAAAGTGACGATGTTGAACGTCGTATCTTCTGTGGGTTAAAATTCGTAGTTTGGTACCGCTTAGTCTGTTTAAACCTAATATGACCACCGTTAGAGTTATTCCGGTACGTTTTAGGGTATTAACCGCAAAAAAATATGACAGGAACTAGTTTTGTCTTAGAATCGGTACCTCGTAGGGTGAAAACGAGCCACACCCACAAAATGACATTCTGGTGCCTTTTAGGGGTTCCTTTCAAAATTTCCCACGATCAACTCGGTCACGTTTATATTAGAGTCCCTCCCTCCCCTCGGGGTGGTACTTGGACACATGGTCACCATCATAACTCATACAGTAATTTCTATTTGGCCTTGTACTAAACTCGTTTTCAAATGGTTTCATTGATCAGGTTCCGGTCTGTGTAAAGATGACGCACCCACATCAAGCTGTCCAATCATGGGCGAGCCATGGATACTGTGACCAGCATCCCGCCAACATGCTCACGTGGTGTAAAGTCACGTGCAACCTCTGTAGCAGTGGTAAGTAGTCACCAATCCCCCTGTTCCATGTTTGGTTTATTATTACCTCGTTGGTGTTTTTGTATCTTAGTTAACTATTATTTTGAGGTTTCCATTGTAGATGGAAAAATGACTTACCTTATAGGAAATTAACGCTTGTGTTTATTAACGTATTTTGAATTAACGCCTATATTTTTGTTCTTTGTTGTGTTACCATGAACGTTTCGTTTTGTCTTCTTTCTTCATCGTTCTAGATTCGTGTAATCGATAATGACGGCAACTGCCCAGCTTGGAAGAAGAGTGGCGCTTGTCAGACTCACCCAGATGTCATGAAAACCTACTGTCTTCACTCATGCAACTTGTGTAATGGTGAGTTAGGTTCCTGACCAGGGAATTCCATGTTAAACGTCATGCCAAAAACCGACATCGCACGAATCGCGAAGCGACTAAGACTAAGG